AAATTTAAGCACAGAATTGTCCTGTAGGTTTTGTCGGAGCTTCATTAATTCATCAGTGTCCTTAAAGGACACTCAGAACTAAGAAATTATTCTCAGCAAGGAAACTATTGACCCATGATGCCATTGTTGAGAGTGGCAAATGGGTTAACTTTGTGAGCAGAAATAGTATATAGCACCAGTAGAGCCAGCAATGGGATACAGGTAATGGCATAAACAGATAGAAAATATACCATGCCTTCCTGCAGTAGAAAGTTCTAAAGGAAAGAGCACTGACGTGTATTATGAAAGGTCAAACTCCAGAGAAAGTAGCCCCACTTCATCAATAACTAAAATGGTTAGGAAGGCACAACCCAGGAAAATTAGTGTGCACCAAAGGGGAATGAAAAAAGACCCAAGCAAGCCCCAATAACTGACTGAAAGACAGTGCAATGGGAGCTTCAAAGCATTAAAAAAATGAAGTAATTGGATATTTTTGAGAGAGTTTTACAATTGCTTCAGTATTTTTAGCATTTAGTACTTATAGAAAGGTGTTATAACAATTTTCTAAGTTTTCTGAGTGAACATATACATGAAGAAATGGCATAAGTAAAAGACACCTGTAATAAGAAATGAGGTCAAGAACTAGGAAAATACAGTTAGCTGGTTAAATGGTATTGAGAATGATGAGTTAAGAGTTATAAAAAATGAAGCTACAACAGAGACGCTGAGAAAAATGCTATTCAGGAGTTACTGATGCCAAGTTAATAGTACAGTAAAGGCTACTAAAAAATTTATGATAGCATCTCAAATTGGTGCTTTGATGTAAGATCTGTTACTCCAGACCAGTGTAGTAGTACAAGTAAAAAGGCAACCGGAGCACTCACCATCACAGTAACCAATTACTTGAGAGTTTTGGTACTTGTTTTGGAGTTGCACAGATTGACCAATAAAGTGTTAGAACTACTTGCAGGTAGTTAGGAATACTATTTGGAAAGTCCAAAGAATATAAAGAAAATATGGTTTAAAAACTCATGTCAGTTATCACCAGGAAGAATTGAGGTTTTCCCAGAGTTGGTGATAGTTCAGAAACAATGAACATGAAAGTGTCCAATCTTCAACGATTTACCAGGCCAACTGTGTTGTAAGTAATGAAACTATTTCTCTCTTAGTCAATTGATGTAGTTTCTTAGCAAATTATTAATGCCTTACTAAATTGTATTTATGTTATTATGTTAAAAAACTTGATGAATTGTGTTGAATATCTTTCTCAGGATCAGTTTCTTCAGTCTAACCATAAATCTCCTCGAGTTAGCAACTTGTGAGCTCCACTCGCCACTGCAATCCTCAATTAAATAAATTGGGTATAACTGGCACTACAGTCGAAACTCCAACACTAGCCCTAAGGGTACTGTCCATAACAAAAAGAAAACATGGTTAAGCTCTATCTTGCTTGGGGCTGAGACAATGAGTAAAATCTCCAATACCATACAAAGACAGGCATACCCAGATGGGAGAGATACTTGCTGAGGTACCAGTAGCCACTAGATAACACCCTTAGTCCAACATCCTCTCAAGAAGCTCCAGTATAGAATAGGAATGTATGTATCTAGGACTAACAGAGAAGTGCATTTAATTTGCAAAAGTCCCATCTTTAGGTTTATTTTTATATATACACAAACACACACGTATATATATATAAAATAAGCATTAAAAAGATTTGGTAAAGACTTTACAGTGACAACCAGGACTGACAATGGAATCTTTACCAAAATCTTTTTAATGCTTATTTTCTATTAGTATATTAAGTTCATTATTGTTTTATAGTGCTGACTTTAATTACCTATTAACAATCAATGTAAGTAATAGTATTGAAGTCATTTATTTATCTATTTATTTCATTTTATATATATATATATATATATATATATATAT